ACTTCCTCCGACGGTATTTAGCTGCTATTTCCACGCCAGGATAGCTCTAAAAATTTCCATTTTTTTTTTCTAATTACCTGTGAGTTGGCAATCGCTCACCCGGTACCAATACTCAGTCCAAATCTTCACTCCTGCACAATTCGTATTCCGGTTGCCCCGGCTTCATGGCGGTCACAATGGCTGCTGCCCCCGCTGTCGGATTGAAGAGTTTTCTCTGGCTTTCCGAGGAACTTGCCTGTTCCTCTTTAGCCGTCCGAGATGCTTCTCCTTCTTCACCGTCCCTACAGGACGGTTCCGGTCCAAAGACCCCCCCTCCCCCCGACAGCGGTTCATCTGGCTGAGTTTCGCCATGCTCGTTAGAACCTAGTATTTTCCCAGCCAGTCTCGCAACGACACTTCCGGTCTCCTGGAGTGCCTTGGTTTTTTATGCCCTCTGTTGTGCCCCACCTCAGAGTTTCTTGTTCCTGTATAAGAAATGTATCCTGATTGGTTGTGAGACTCCCAGGGGGCGGGGGTCTTAGCTAGCCTTGCTGGCTAATGTAATCTTCCCAGGTGCCATGTGGGGAGTTTCTGTTGCTGGATGGGTCCTTTGTGTTGCAGATGATGGTCCATTGACAAAGGTGGGGGAAAATGAGTTTCTGCCTCAAGCCCATTGACAAAGGTGGCGGGAGGCAGGAAGCTGCTTTGTCTTTAAAACATGTTTCTCCATTTCTCATCCAGGGAAATATAATATTCTGCCTTTTTAATATTTCCTAAAATATTTCATTCTTCTAGGAGAGGGGTGAGTGCTAACTTCCTACACAGCCCTAGTTAAAGCACTAAACTATTTTGACAGAAAACAACCCAAAACAAATTCATCTGTACTATAGTTCATGTTTCCTGTGAACATGTTGAATAAAGTATTTCTATTTTGGAATCTTTAGAAAGCAGGCCATAGCAAAGTCATCCCTGACCATTAAACACCGTCTCTAGGCAACCATAGGGAGATGCCACACATTTGTTAAAGGAGCAGCTGCCACAAGAGAACTTTTCCTTCTCCTGATCATGAAATGGTGGTGTGTGTGTGTGGGCGGAAGAGAGTGTAATTATGAAAGGTAGTCATCAGCCCAACTTGGACAGCTGTAAGAGGAAGAAAGTTGTGAATGACACTATATAACCATTGTAACTATGGTAGTAGCAATTATCGCCAGCTTCACAGGCAATAAACCTTTCAACAATTGTTGCAGGGGAGATAGGGTGTTATAGGATTCCAATTAGAATTTTGAGTTGCAGCAATAAAGAATTCAAGAACTAGCAAGCATCCTGGCTTCTAAAAACAGCTCAAGGAACTGAGTTTTAAGCATGTTTAAAATTAAGCTTTTAGTTGTTCTTGTTAAAGAATAAAATAACTCGAGCTTACTATTTTGGTTTTATACAAGTACATTTTACAACAATGTATGTAAAATAAGCATCTTCGCTGAGGTTTAAACAGTCTTCACTATATTGACTAATTAAATTTGTAATAAAAAAACAAAACTTTGTTCTCAGTCGAATACTAAATGAGTAAAACAAATAAATACAATATGCAGAATGTCATCCTGTGAACAATTTTGTTGACGAATCAAATACTGTGGGAAGTTGTTGTTTTGTGCACAGTGCATCAAATTCTTGCACAGTTTCCATTTATTTTAATAATATTTTCTCTGAAATACTTTCCAGCAAAATATATAGTGGGTTTTGCTTTTTTGTTATTACTGACTAAAACATGGATACATTTGTAGAAAGTTAGCACTTCCACCTCCTAGAAGAATAAAATATTTTGAGGAATATTAAAAAAGGCAGAATATTATATTTCCCTGGATGAGAAAAGGAGAAACATGTTCTTAAAGACAAAGAGCAGCTCCGTGCAGCTCCTTCCCCCAGCAGATATTTGGTGCCCATGAGAAAGACTGGGCCAGCCTATCTACAAGACAAAAGACCTCCAGCTTCAAGGTGATGGGATTAAGACATGACCCTCCAGTAGGTAATAGGATTATCTATCAGCAGAGCTCACTACATGGCACAACCAAGCCCCTATATTACATCAGCCCAAGGTTCAACCAAATTTGAGTTCAAGACAAACATGACCCCAAATGGCCCCATGGGAGTCTGACAGCAACCAATAGAATACATGCTCTTGGTACAGGGACAGGAAGCTCAAGTTCAAAACCCAAGAGAGGGTAAAAATACCATTCACTCTTCACTCCATGTGGTCAGCTACCCAGAATCACAATGCTTGGGGTTCTGCTTCACCATTAAACCATCTTTCCAATCAGTCTCCATGTTTCCAGTGTCTTTCTCCCCACTTGGAACTGAACCCAGATGGACATTTCTTCCAAAACATTAAATAGTTTTATTATTTTTTTAAAAAATATGTTTTTCTATTTTATTTCTAACCAGTCTTTTCTGTTGTCCACATAGTGTGGAAAAAGAAATCCTGCATACAATCAATTTACCACAGTGGGATCAGTTTGAAGAATAATAGATGAGTAGATAAAAGGCATTAAAGTTTCTCCCTGAAAAAAAAAATCAAATTTATGATCTTAATCTCCCTCCCCCAAAATATATTCCACTGCCCATATGTATATTTCATTTGTATAAAACATTGAGCATAGTGGTGGATTTCACTTACCTTTGCTACTGGTTTGGAACTGTGAGTGTGCGTGTGCGTGCACTCGCTTCGCTCGTGGCACTTTTGCGCATGTGCATAACCTTCTGTGCATGTGTAGAGCATCCATGATGATGTCCGGGCAGGTGGGCAGAGCCTCCCCTCGTAGGAGCTACCTGTTCGTCCGAACTGGTGTGAACTGGTAGAAACTGACCACTGGTTGAGCGGGTTTTTTTACTGCATGGACTGTTTTAGGAATATTTTATTATATGATTGTAACACAAAAAACTCCCACATAGTTCTCAGAACAGAGTTGTACTATGACCCAACTAAGGATCTTCCAGAGGTTTTACATAGACATTTTGAACAGTTTTTAACTAGGTGTGTGGGGGTGTGTGTGTATGTGTGTGTGTGTGTGTGTGTGTGTGATAATCAGTTTTAAACAGCTTGCCCCCTCCTCGTCGTCCTCCCTAGTGATGGCGAGACCCTTTCTGCAGCAGCCCGATTAAAGGCTTGCTGTGACTGTTCCTTCTCAGCTCTGTGAATTTGCTTCTCTAGATCTTTGTGCCTTCTGTTGGCATCTTTTTCAGAAGCCTTAGAATGCTTCTGCTTACCCTGGACCCAGATTTAGATGTGGCCTTCTTTCTGGGAGCAGCTTCCCCTTCCAGGGGAGAACTGCTTGAGAACTGCTTCATCGATCTATGCCCAGCAGCTCTTCCCGCCATTTTGTTTTTCAAACTCCATTGACATTTATTTATTTATTTATTTATTTATTTATTTATTTATTTATTTATTTATAAAATTTGTATGCTGCCCTATCTCCGAGGACTCAGAGCGGCTCACAACGACAATTGACCAAGCGACTGTTAAAAAGAACAAATATACACAAAAGAATAAAAAAGTTTTTTAAAAATTTAAAACATACTACCCCATCAGTCCAGGCTGGGGGACATAAATAGCCAGGTTTTCAATTCATGGTGGAAGGTGCGAGGGTCAGGGGCCAACCGGAGCCCCAAGGGAAGTTGATTCTAGAGGGTGGGGGCACTCACAGAGAAGGCTCTACCCCTGGGGGTCGCCAGCCGACATTGTCTAGCCGATGGCACCCTGAGAGAGCGCACCGGGCGATGGGAAGTTGACGCCGGTTGCAGGTGGTCCGACAAATAGCCTGGGCCTAAGCCATGAAGGGTTTTATAGGTTAACACCAGCACCTTGAATCTCACCTGGAGGGCAACTGGCAACCAATGCAAGCCGCGCAGGAGTGGTGCAATATGGGAGTATCGGGTCCCTCCCACAACAACCCGCATGGCCGCATTCTGTACCAGCTGAAGCCTCCGGGTGGTCTTCACGGGCAGCCCCAGGTAGAGAGCATTGCAGTAGTCAATCCGGGAGATGACTAGCGCATGAATGACTGTGTGTAGGGCATCTCGGTCCAAGTATGGGCACAACTGGCGCACCAGGTGAACCTGGGCAAACGCCCCCCTGGTCACGGCCATGATATGACCCTCCAAACTCAGCCGTGAATCCAAGAGGACGCCCAAGTTGCGCGCCCTGTCTACGCGGGGGCAACACCTCGCCCCCAATAGACAGCATTGGAACTTCTTGCTCGGCCCGAGATGCCGGTATCCACAGCCACTTGGTCTTGGCCGGGTTGAGTCGAAGCCTGTTACTCCCTATCCAGATCCGTACCACTTCCAGGCTCCGGGACATCACGTCGAGGGCATCACTGGACTGGTTCGAGGTGGATATAAAAAGTTGGGTATCATCAGCGTACTAATGATACCCCACCCCAAAACCATGGATGATCTCTCCCAGTGGCTTCATGTAAATGTTGAACAGAAGGGGCAAGAGGACCGACCTCTGGGGCACCCAAGTGAGGGGCCTCATGGCTGACCTCTGCCCCCCTGCCAACACCGCTTGCGTACGACCCGAGAGGTAGGAGGCGAACCACTGTAAAATGGTGCCACCGACTCCCAACCCCTTGTGGCGTCGCAGCATGATACCTTGGTTAATGGTATCAAAAGCCACCAAGAGATCTAATAGGACCAGGACCGAGGAATGACCCCTGTCCCGAGCCTTCCAGAGAGCATCCACCAGCGCGACCAATGCCGTCTCCATGCTGTAACCGGGCCTGTAACCCAATTGGCATGGATCTAGGTAATCTGCTTCATCCAGGGCCACCGGAAACTGACATGCCACCATAGTCTCAACAACCTTCGCCAAAAAGTGAAGGTTGGAAACCAGACGAAAGTTGCCCAAAATGGTTGGATCTAAGGCAGGTTTCTTTTTTTTATTGAAAAAGTTTTACAAATACAATTTTCCCCCTTTCCCCCCCTTTCCCTCCCTAACCCTCCCTTACCCTACCCTCCCCCCATGGCTTCCCCAGAATGAAATCCAATTATACATTTCTTCCTGACATTCTAGTATACTATCCCCTGTAAACTATACATTTCTAGACAACATTCATCTAAAAATTATCTAATACTTCTTAGTTTAGTATTTATTCTACACATAATCTATACCTATCCTCCACTCCCTTACATAAATCTCTTGTGTCCGATCTTTTATATATGCTGATAACTTCATCATTTCTACAAGACTAGCCAGCTTCAGAGTCCATTCTTCAATAACATCCCTTTTCCAGTATAATCTAGTTTATCACCATATACCCTATCAGTTTTGTTTCACCCACTTTCCCGCAGGTCCGCCATATATAATTATTTATAAAATCTAAACAATCACATCAGATCCTTCTTCCAACAGAGTATTTAGTGTCTTTAGTTGCCATCTGCCCACATTGTTAAGAAATACTTTTATGTATAAAACCCCCCTGAGTGACTTTATATTTATATTGCATACAATATCTTCTGCAAAGTCTTCCATCTAGATTATTAATTCCATCAATCATGTTAGGGTAACAACCAGATCAACTGCAAATGCCCTTGTTCCGTAGTCCTCTTGCCTCATAATTATTCCCTTCAATGTACACATAATCCATCTTTCTTAAAATCTATAATAGAAAGTTCCAATTCACTCAATTATAGGCCTTCTCCACATGCTTAAACACCAGCACTGCAGGGATCTGTTTATTCTTCTCAAGATAGTCCAATAAGCCTATAATTTGCCTCACATTATCTTTCATATATCTGCCTTCTATAAGTCCTACATAAACATAAATCAATTCTTAGATAACTGGCATTGATATGTTGGATAATAGTTTTACAAAAATTTATAATCCATATTCAAAAGAAATATTGGTCTAAAACTTTCTAGTTTTTTTTTCTTGCCTTGTGGTGGCTTGAAGCTATGCTGTTGTTGCTTTTCTGGAATTTGTTTATATGCTATTCGAGTTGTATGCTGATCTTTAACTGTGGAGGACATTAGATCAAGATCCACAGCCACTTTTCTTGTTTTTTTAAGTGGTCCAGCTAAAACCTTTAAAGGATAATCCAAGCGTGAGTCATCCAAAGAGCCCCCTGTAGTTCCTTGTATTTCCATTGGCTCCACCTCCATCTGCTTCCACTGGACTTTAGTCTTTCGTTCAATTTGCTTTTCTTTATCTCCCTCCTGTATTCCTGACGCTGACAATATACGTGGAGATGTTGGGCCAATTTTAAAAAATTGCGATAAAATTCTTCCGCTTTTTCAACAGTATTTAATCGATATCTTTCTCCTTGATATGTCAATCTTATGCCAACTGGGACATCCCATCTGTATGGAATCTGTTGTTTCTTTAGTTCAATCACCAAAAATCCAAAATCTTTTCTGTCTTTTAACATCTTAGGCGGCAACTCTTTGTAAATCCCAATCTGCCTTCCATCCACTTGTAGGGTAGAAACAAAATAATAATAATAATAATAATAATAATAATAATAATAATAATAATAATTTTATTTCTGTACCGCCCTTCTCCCGAAGGACTCAGGGCGGTGTACAGCCTATTTAAAAACACAGAAACAAAACAACAGTTAAAATTTAAAATCATTAAATAATTAGGCTCCAATTAAAATCCCAGAAATTTAAAATACCCCAATTTAAAACGTTATGTTAATAGCTCGGCCTGGCGGAACAACAGGGTCTTCAGAGCGCAGCGAAACACTCGGAGGTCGGAGATCTTACGTATTTCCGGGGGCAGTTCATTCCACAGGGCTGGGGCTCCCACAGAGAAGGCCCTCCCCCTGGGTGTCGCCAGCCGACATAACTTGGCCGATGGCACCCTGAGGAGACCCTCTCTGTGGGAGCGGACTGGTCGGTGGGAGGCTATTGGTGGCAGAAGTCGGTCTCGAAGGTACCCGGGTCCTATGCCATGGAGCGCTTTAAAGGTGGTAACCAACACCTTGAATCGCACCCGGAAGACCACTGGGAGCCAGTGCAGCTCGCGCAGGAGGGGTGTCACCTGGGTGCAACGGGTTGCACCCATAACCACCCGCGCGGCCGCATTCTGGACCAGTTGGAGCCTCCGAGTGCTCTTCAAGGGGAGCCCCATGTAGAGAGCATTACAATAGTCCAACCGGGAGGTGACAAGGGCGTGAGTGACCGTACGCAAGGCGTCCCGATCCAGAAAGGGCTGCAACTGGCGGATCAGGCGAACCTGATAAAAGGCCCCCCTGGCCACAGCCGTCATGTGCTCTTCTAAAGACAGCCGTGCGTCCAGGAGGACACCCAGATTGCGAGCCCTCTCTGTGGGGGGCAAAGATTCACCCCCAATAGTCAGTGATGGCACCTGCTGACTATATCGGGGCGCCGGAAGCCACAGCCACTCGGTCATGGAGGGGTTGAGTCTGAGCCTGTTCCTCTCCATCCAGGCCCGCACGGCCTCCAGGCAGCGGGACATCACATCAAGGGCATCGTTGGGGTGGTCTGGGGTGGAGATGTACAGCTGAGTATCGTCAGCGTACAGATGACACTTCACCCCAAAACCACGGATGATCTCACCCAGCGGCTTCACATAAATGTTGAACAGGAGAGGCGAGAGGACTGACCCTTGCGGCACTCCCCATGCGAGATGCCTCGAGGTCGACCTCTGTCCCCCTGCCAACACAAACTGCGAGCGGTCGGAGAGGAAGGAGGAGAACCACCGCAGAACGGTGCCCCCTATTTCTAACCCCCTCAACCGCTGCAGCATGATACCATGGTCGATGGTATCAAAAGCCGCTGAGAGGTCTAATAGGACTAGGACAGAGGAGCAACCCCTGTCCCGAGCCCTCCAGAGATCATCCATCAACGCGACCAATGCCGTTTCTGTGCTGTACCCCTGCCTGAAGCCCGACTGGTACAGGTCCAGATAGATAGCTTCATCCAGGTGCCGCCACGCTCTCAACAACCTTCGCCACAAAACGAAGGTTGGAGACTGGACGATAGTTAGCTAATTCAGCCGGGTCCAGGGAAGGCTTCTTGAGGAGGGGCCTCACTACCGCCTCTTTCAAGGTGGCAGGAAAGGCACCCTCACTCAAAGAAGCACTTATAATCCCCTGGAGCCAGCCTCGTGTAACCTCCCGGGAGGCCAGCACCAACCAGGAGGGACACGGGTCCAATAAACACGTGGCGGCACTAATCTTACCCAGAACCCTGTCCACATCCTCGGGAGTCACAGGATCAAACTCCTCCCAGATAACATTCTCAAGACCTGCCCTCGTCTCCTCCCGCGGACTCATCCAGTCGGAGTCCAAGCCATCCCGAATCCGAGTGACTTTATCATGCAGGAACTGTACAAAATCCTCAGCACGACCCTGCAAGGGATCTTCCCGCACTCCCCCCTGGAGAAGGGAGTGGGTCACCCTAAACAAGGCGGCTGGGCGGTTCTCTGCAGATGCGATAAGAGCGGAAAAGTGGTTAGACTTTGCCGCTTTTATCGCCACTAGGTAGGTCTTGATATAAGACCTCACCTGTGTCCGGTCGGAATCGGATTGACTAGTCCTCCAAATGCTCTCTAGGCGTCTTTTCCGACGCTTCATCTCTCTCAGCTCCTCAGAAAACCAAGGAGCCAGTTGAGATCGGCATCGGGTCAGAGGCCGCAAAGGCACGACGCGGTCCAAAGCTCCGGCAGCCGCCCTTTCCCAGGCGGCCACCAGCTCTTCAGTCGAGTCGTGTGTTAGGGTCTCAGGAAACGGCCCAAGCTCCGTCAGGAACCTTTCGGGGTCCATCAGGCGCCTGGGACGGAACCATCTAGTTGGCTCCGTCTCCCTGCGGCGGGAGAAGGCGGTAGGAAAGTCTAGTTGGAGGAGCGAATGATCTGTCCATGACAAGGGTTTAATATCTAGGTCCCCTCTACCAAGATCATTCAACCACTGACCAGAGACAAAAATCAGATCCAGAGTGTGTCCCCCTATGTGAGTTGGGCCTTGAACTAACTGGGTAAGGTCCATGGCCGTCATGGAAGCCATGAACTCCCGAGCCGTCTCTGACGCCTCACCCGCGGATGGAAGGTTGAAATCCCCCATGACAATAAGTCTGGGGGTATCAACCGCCACCCCGGCAATGACGTCGAGTAGCTCGGGCAGGGTCGCTGCCACGTGGCAGGGAGCCAGGTACGTAGTCAGCAAACCCATCTGCACCCCACGGCCCCACTTCACACAAAGGGACTCACATCCGGCTATCTGAGGAACAGTGGTCTCCCTCGGACAGACTTTCCCTAATAATCACCGCCACTCCCCCACCCCTCCCCTGGGCCCTTGGCTGATGAAATGAAAAGACTTTTGCAAGATGTCATTTCTTATTCTTTTATCTGTAAAATATGTCACTATATCTCTGGGCAATTGCCTTTGTCTTGCTACCCAAGAATTCACTCTGTAAATCTTATCAATTTTGGACGAAATGGGCGTTGGTACTTACCTGATACGCCTCTTCTCTGACTGTTGGGCACGGCAGTCAGGATGCAGTCAGGATGGGAGGAGACTTGGTTGAGTATTGATTGGACCGGGTCTGCAGAGTCAAAGAAGTCCCTCCTCCTGGCTGTAGCTGTCAGTTTTGAGACGAGGGCGTAGCTGCAGAAGACGTGTCTAGGACGATAAAGAAAGAACATTAGAACTCCCGCCCCTCCCTGGAATTGACCACGCCAAGACCGGCCCCATGTAGGGTGGGGCTGACTGCCATGCCCAACAGTCAGAGAAGAGGCGTATCAGGTAAGTACCAACGCCCATTCTTCTATAGTCGGGCACGGCAGTCAGGATGGGACATACCAAAGGCAGGTGTCCAGTCGGGAGGGAGCAGGCCGGCCCTGGGATTAGGAGGCAGCTTGGACCTGTTGTAGGACCCGTCGTCCAAATGCTGCATCCGCCGACGCGAATTTGTCCAAGCGGTAGTGGCGGATAAAGGGCGTCGGAGAAGCCCAGGTCGCAGCCCTGCAGATCTCATCAATGGGAAACATCCTATCTAGATCCGTTCCAGTCGGGTTTCAGGCCTGGACACAGCACGGAAACGGCATTGGTCGCGTTGGTTGATGATCTCTGGAGGGCTCGGGACAGGGGTTGTTCCTCTGTTCTGGTCCTGTTAGACCTCTCAGCGGCTTTTGATACCATCGACCATGGTATCATGCTGCACCGGTTGGAAGAGTTGGGGATGGGGGGCACCGTATTACGGTGGTTCTCCTCCTTTCTCTCCGACCGGTCACAGTTTGTGTTGGCAGGGGGGCAGAGGTCGACCTCAAGGCCTCTTATATGTGGAGTGCCTCAGGGGTTGGTCCTCTCGCCCCTCTTGTTCAATATTTATGTGAAGCCGCTGGGCGAGATCATCCGTGGCTTTGGGGTGAGATACCACCAGTACGCTGATGACACCCAGCTGTACATCTCCACCCCAGGCCACCCCAACGATGCCCTTGAAGTGATGTCCCAGTGCCTGGAGGCTGTGCGGATCTGGATGGGGAGGAACAGGCTCAGGCTCAACCCTTCCAAGACTGAGTGGCTGTGGCTCCCAGCATCCCGATATAGTCAGTTGACTCCATCACTGACTATTGGGGGCGAGTCGTTGGCCCCCACAGAGAGGGCTCGCAATCTGGGAGTCCTCCTGGATAGGCAGCTGTCCTTGGAGGAACATCTGACAGCTGTAACCAGGGGGACCTTTTGTCAGGTTCGCCTGATCCGACAGTTGCGGCCCTTTCTTGATCGGGATTCCCTGTGCACAGTCACTCATGCCCTCGTCACCTCTCGCCTTGACTACTGCAACGCTCTCTACATGGGGCTCCCCTTGAGGAGCACCCGGAGGCTCCAACTGGTCCAGAACGCAGCAGCGCGGGTAGTGACGGGAGCAGCATGGTGCTCCCATGTAACACCGCTCCTGCGCGAGCTGCACTGGCTCCCAGTGGTCTTCCGGGTGCGCTTCAAGGTGTTGGTTATCGCCTTTAAAGCGCTCCATGGCATAGGGCCTAGCTATCTTTTTTTTTTATTGCAAAAGTTTTACAATTACATTTTCACCCCATTTTCCCCCTCCCCATCCCAGCCCCCACGCCCCACCCTAACCCCCCCAAACCCCCCTAACCCTCCCCCCTGACTTCCACAAAATATAATCCCATCAAAATCCCCTTTTTATAAAACTTGAACCCCTCAGACCCCCTTAAAAAATTTTTTTTTATCTTCACAGTTTTCATACATTTCTATTTTTATATAATACTTTCAATGAAAAACTATTTGGTACTTTCTAACTTGATATTTGTTCTGGACATAATCTATCCATTTTTTCCATTCCCATTCATAAGTCTCTTGTGAGCGATCTTTTAAATATGCTGAGATCTTCGCCATCTCGGCAAAACTGGCCATCTTCAAAGTCCATTCTTCGATAGTGGGTAAAGCTTCATTTTTCCAATATTTACCTATCAATAATCTCGCTGCAGTAATCATGTACAATATCAGCTTAATTTCATCCTGTGTAAAACCCTTTACTATACCCAATAAAAACAATTGTGGAAAAAAAGGAATTTTTTTCTTCAAAATATTCTGCATAACCCACCATATTTTTATCCAAAAAGCCTTAACTTTCTTACAATTCCACCAAACATGATAATATGTAGCATCTAAACAATCACATCTCCAACATTTTGGCTGAACATTAGGATACATACAGGATAATTTCTTGGGATCTAAATGCCATCTGTAAAACATCTTATAAAAATTTTCCCTCAAATTCTGCGATTGCGTAAATTTAACATTCTGAACCCATATTTTCTCCCATGTTTCCAACATTACTGGTTCTGCAAAATTCTGTGCCCATTTAATCATGCAATCTTTAACCAATTCAGTTTCTGAGTCCCTTTCTAACAAAACATTATATAGCCTTTTGATATGCATTGGACCTTTCTCTTTTATATGTCTAACCAACTCTTCCTCATGCAACATAATACCAGTTTTTTGGTCCTCTTTCCATCTCAGTTGAAGTTGATTGTATTGTAACCAGGTTAAGTTAATCCCTTCGCCCAACAGTGTCTCTAATGTCTTCAGTTGCCATCTGCCCACATCTGTAAAAAGAACCTCTTTGTATAAAAACCCCCCGAGTGACATTATATTTGTATTCCAAATAATATGACCAAGATCCAGCCACAACGGTATTTTATAATCCCATTTGATTCGGTGCTTCTTCCATACTCTCATCAAAGAATCTCTAAGTATATGACTTTTAAATACTTTATCCACTTTGTTTTCATAAAACAAGTAAGCGTGCCAACCAAATTCGAGATCAAAACTTTCTATATTCAATATTCCAGTCTTTTTCCTTCCAAACCAATCGCTTGCTTGAGTCAAAGCTGCTGCTTCATAATAGGTTTGGAAGTTTGAGACCTCCCCTTTCCGGAACATCTTGCATAATTTTCAATTTCAATTACATGGCGCTCCCATGTAACACCGCTCCTGCGCGAGCTGCACTGGCTCCCAGTGGTCTTCTGGGTGCGCTTCAAGGTGTTGGTTATCGCCTTTAAAGCGCTCCATGGCATAGGGCCTAGCTATCTTCAAGACTGCCTGCTGCCACTGATGACCTCCCATCGACCCGTGCGCTCCCACAGAGAGGGCCTCCTCGGGGTGCCATCAGCCAAACAGTGCAGGCTGGTGACCCCCAGGGGGAGGGCCTTCTCTGTGGGGGCACCTACCCTCTGGAATCAATTGCCTCCAGAGATAAGGAGAATCCAAGACCTCAGTGCCTTCCGCCGTGCCCTTAAAACCTTCCTTTTCCAGCAAGCCAGGCTGGCCTAATTTTTTAAGTGTTTTTAAGTATTTTGTTTATTGTTTTTAATTAATGGGGCCAAATTTATATATATATATATATTTTAACTGTATTTTAATATTTGTACTTGATGTTTTTACTTGGCTGTTCACCGCCCTGAGTCCTCAGGGAGAAGGGTGGTATACAAATTCAAAATAAAATAAAATAAATAAAATAAAATAAAATGGACGCCTGGGTGGACCAAGCCGCCGATGTGGCCGCGCTCCATGTGGAGCGGGCGGTGATGTTGCATGGGACTGGAACAGAGCGAGTCTCATAGGCCGTCGAAATGCAGGCTCTAATCCACCGTCCCAAAGTGGGTGACGAAATCTTTGATCCCAAAGACGCCAGCAGGAAAGACACGAACAGTGCATCAGAACGTCTGAAGGATGCTGTGCGGGAGATATACACTTTAATGGCCCGTCGGACATCGAGGGTATGCCAACATCTTTCAAGGGGGTGGCGGGGGGAAGGGCAGAAATTTGGGAGCAGCACTTCTTGGGGTCGGTGGAAAATCGAATTAACCTTCGGGATGAAGGAGGGGTCCAGTCTCAACACCACTCTATCTTGGTGGAATAGGCAGAGTTCTTTATGAATGGAGAGGGAAGCCATTTCCGAAATTCGTCGGACAGACATAACCGCTACTAGGAAGGCCACCTTAAAGGAAAGATGCCTCAGGGAAACCTCACGTAGTGGCTCGAAAGGAGGACCAGTGAGTGCCGTCAGTACCGTTGGCAGGTCCCACGAAGGGTATCTGTGAATGGTAGGAGGTTGGATGTTGGCGGCTCCAAGTAGAAACTGGCAAATGAGCGGATTCCTGGAGATCGGGTCCGTCGAAGAGCCAGATAAGACGGTGGAAAGAGCCGCCACCTGACGCCATAACGTATTGGACGATAGACCAGAGACAAATCCGTCCTGAAGGAATTTGATAACCAGCATGACAGAGGCAGACGTAGGAGATTGGTGACGTCTTCCACACCACAACGAAAAAGCCCGCCAGGTAGCCTCATAAATACGGGTAGTTGAAGCCCGCCTAGATGCCTGAATCGTGGATATGGCTCCCATGGAGAGGGGAAGAATGGTCAAGAGGCCCCGCTCAACCTCCACGCGGCGAACTGGAACCAGTGCGGGTCCGGGTGTTCTAGCTGTCCCTGAAGAAGAACAATTTGATTGTCTGGTATTCGCCACGGGGCCTGCACCGAGAGAGACTTGAGGTCGGCAAACCAGGGATGTCGATTCCAGGAAGGAGCAATTAGTATCACTTCTGCTCATTCCTGTAGCAGCTTCCGCAACACCTTGGGTATGAGGTTGACCGGAGGGAAGGCGTACAGAAGCTGATTGGACAGCCAAGGAGTCCGCAGAGCGTTCACCGCCTCTGCTCCCGGACACGGGAACCTGGTAAAGAAGCGTGGGAGTTGGTGGTTGGCAGCGCTGGCGAAAAGGTCTACTGTTGGCAGACCGAAGCGGAGAGTCACTTCTTGGAATAGCTGTGGAGGGAGCGACCACTCCGCATTGTGCCATTGTTGACCGACTGAGAACGTCGGCCGTCCGGTTTCGGACCCCCGAGATGTGCGCTGCCCATAATGAGGCCAAATGCCTCTCCGCCCAGTAACCTAGGCGTTGTGCTTCCCGCATCAGAACCCTGGAACGGGTGCCCCCGAGTCTGTTTACATGCGCTTCGGCAGTTACATTGTCGGTTAGCACAAGGACATCTCAGTGGAGGACGTGAGCTCTGAAGGCCTTCAGAGCAAGGAAGATAGCTCATAGTTCTAGCACATTGATATTCAACTATTGTTCCCGGGGGGGGACCAAAGACCCTGCGCTAGGTGCGGGCCCAGATGAGCTCCCCAGCCCGACAAACTGGCATCTGTCGTGAGGAGGAGGGGCTGAGGTTCCCGAAACCTGGTGCCCTTGAGAAGTGCCGCCGATGTTCACCAGGAGAGAGATTGGAGCACTGGACAAGGAAGAACCAATCTTGTGGCCGACGTGTCCCTATGCGAGCGTTGAAAAGGAAGTAGTAGCCATTGTAAGTCCCGGCAGTGTAAACGCGCCCAAGGGACTACACCAAAGGTCGAAACCATTTTGCCAAGAAGGCGAGACAATGAAAGGAGAGAAGATGACCTCTGCCCGCGTAAACGGGTCGTTAGGTTCCTCAGGTTGTCAATTCGGTCAGGAGATAGGAAAACCTCTGATGACAGAGTATCAATTACCGTCCCGAGGTGATGAATGCGGGTGGTAGGGGTTAAGTGGCTTTTATTCCAATTAATTGAGAACCCATGCTCCTGGAGGACCTGTAGGGTAGTAGCTATATCTGACTGTGCCTGCTGTAGTGATTGGG